TGCTTGTACATTCTTTTACTGCAGTACAATACTACTGTGGGCCAAGAGAACAGTTTTGAAATACATGTTTTGGAATATTGGAAGGTTAAGAATTCCCTGGGTACATTAAAACTTTGGAACATGCATGTTACAGCAGCTACTTAGGAAGGGAACAGGGTAACAACATTCATTTAATCAGAGGATAGATCCTCAGTAATGATTGATATTCTCGGCAAAACTTCACAAAGGAATTTGACTTATGCCAGACCTGAAGGAATTATTGTGAAGCCACATCATGTAGCATTTACACACTTCAGCTCTGAACTCACATACCTGGGATTCAGGTCCCTCCTGCTGCTCTGTTGTCCCTCTGGCCTTGAACAGGGCTAATCTCTCTGTACCTGAACCTCCTTTTGGAAAATGTGGAAAAGATACTTCCGGTGATTTCAAGGATTAAATAGAAGTCTATGTAAAACCACCTAATTCCTTGTAAAGAAAGCTGTTACGAGGGTATTGCTGACGGAAGTCTTACTGTTAATTGCACCTCTAGGCAGATGCCGCCTCAATAGTATGGAAATGATGTTTCATTTCGTGAGACTTCAAAGCTAGTCCTGCCCCACCCCAGGAGAGCTGTGGGGACTGAGACACTAGGAATGCATACCTGTCTGCTGTTTGGGAGTCGTTCACTCAGCATTTATACCAAACACCTACAATGTGATTTGGCGATAATTACTAGCAAAAGACAACAGCACACTTCCGGCAGATAGCCAAAGAAAGCTAACCGTGTTTTACAGAGTCTGGCTGGCTGCCCTTGTCACTGCCACTACATGGGGAGCAACGGCTTTTTATTTTCCTTTAATCTAGCAATATCATCATCTGATGTTTAGGATTTAAAATTGTGTAACCCCTGTAGAAGGCTCAGTGATTAAAAGCACTTGCTGCTCTCTCCTCTCTCGAGAGGACCTGGGTGTGGTCTGTAGCACCCCATGGCAGTTCTCAAACACCTGGAACTCCAGTTCCAGGAGATGACATGTGGTATACATAAACTCACTCATGCAGGCCTGTGCATGCGTGCATGTGTGTATGTGTGCGCGCAAACTCATGCACATACACTAATACTAATAATGAGACTTTTAAAAAGTTATGCCCCTAGTATAAATTCATTAGCCTGTTCTACTAAATAAATTTACTTATTTCCTCAATAAGGAGTCATTGGGCACTGCTTTTCACACATCTCTAATTTTAAAAAGCAGCATTTTCTGTTTCTGTTTTGTAAGAAAGTTGTTTTAAGGAACACAGTTGCTAAGGTTTCCACAATCATGGCTTTTAAATATAGAAAAGGCCAAAGGGGTCCAGGATGTCAGCTTTTCTGTTCCTTTAAAAGTAGAACACAACAGTATGAAACATTAGTAAGAGTGTGTGAATAATAAAATTACTAAAGAGTTGCATGTTCAAGATTAAGCACAAAACCACAATTTCATAACTTTCTAAGATAATGTTATCCCAATCCCTTCTTGAGGACTGCTTCATTTTGCTATTTTGTTTTCAAGGAAGTTGGACACGTTTAATTGAGTCTTTTCCATTGACAGGACATTTTGAAATGGGTTGTTCAGAAAAATCAGTTTGAACTCTGTGTACTCCCCGGTAAACGCTGGTGATACAAGCATGCACAGTGGCGTCCGTGCCGTTCCTTACCTCTGGTCAGGGATTGTGCACATGACTGGTTTTTCTCTTCAGTGAATGCCTCCAGTTGCTTCAAAGAACATGGTTTGCAATTATCTAGTAATGACCCCTTCACATTAGGGACCCTACAAAAACTAACTGCACAGATTCCTTTTTATACAACTGCCAGGTAATACCTGCCAACAAATTATAAACATAATGTAAGCGTCTCCCTGAAGGTGTCCTGCTGAAAAAATGCTTTAATTTAAAAATTTTAAAAACACAGTTTTGAAGGAGGAGAGGGAGGAGAGAGATGAAAGAGAGGGAAGAAAAAAGGGAAAGATGGGGAGCAGGAGGCAATGGGAGAGAAGTGTGCACATTGTTACTCAAATATTACTCAAATATAGCAAATTACTCTATGATAAATAGGATAATTCAAGACTTATATTTGATCTAAAATCACAACCAAAAATATAATTTAATGTTGTGGTCCCATACATAGCCAGGCCTATTCACTTCTACTTATAAAACCTACAACTGATGGCTTAGCCACAGTCGTCAATAAAGTTAACCTACAACCATTTTGGGTCATTGGAAATAATTTCTTAAAAATGAATCAATTTGAATTCTGCTGTGGAGTTTAATTAATTTCTTTCCCAGGATACCTTTGAATTTTATTCTAGTGTTACTCCTAAAAATAATATAGGTATCTCAAAAAAGTCAATACCATCTTTAATAAGATAAGTAAAATTTTTCCACTATATACTATGTCAGCATTCATAATGAAGAGTCTGTGTGGACAGTGTTTAATTTGGAAGAGACTGACAGTATCTACAGTGTTGCAGTTGTTTAATCAGACAAGGCAAATAATTTATTTGACATCTGTGGCAATTAATTAACTGGGCATGCTACTAATAGCTACTCAGTCCATGTTTCTAGTTAAAAAGTAACCTAGATGGATTCAGCATGTATCTCAGTGGAAATGCTTGCCTAATGTATAAGAAGGCTGGACTTAACCTCAGTAGAACCTAAACCAAAGCAAAACAAAACCCCACAAAACCCACTTCCTTGAAATGATGACAGAAACATATATGAGAAACAGGAAAATTATTTCAATGTTTCTAAATTGATGAGGCACAGAATCTAGTATTCACAGTGAAAAGAATTTATTCCTTTAAGGGCCTCCATAAGCACAGTCAGTCCAGGTGACTTTGTGCGCCACACAGTGTGACCTAAGACTCACCTTTTCAGCATTCCTTAGGTGAAGCAGCTCATGCTTCGTCGAGGGATAAATATTGTGTAAGACCCACAAAACCCTCTACTGTTCATTCTTGTAATGGTGTGCTTTCCAGCAGGGCCAAGCAGAGGACTCAAGGGTTCTCTACAGCTACACAAATGGCCAATCAGCACGGGAAGGTGCTTGGCAGTGCTGGTCAGGGATGCAAGCCATTGCACAGGGGGACACTATTTCACAGCGATGAGGATTGCTACTGTGAGAAGAAAATTTCAAAATAAAAGTTCTGGTTAAGAGATGGAAAATATAGTAAACTTCTGTATTTCTAGGGGTAATGTTAAACGGTACAGCTGCTGTGGGAAAACTGCTGTTCTTAAAAATGTCAACTCTAATGAATGACACCTGAACTGGAAAGTCCACTTCTAGTGGTTTAAACACCAGTGAATAGGCATTTACTTGAATATACTTAAATGTCAATATTTAAACGATATCACTCTTAATTATCAAAATATGGAAACAACTCAGATGCCATCAACAGAGGAACAAAATATGGTATGTATGTGTAATAGACTATCATTCAGCCTTTGAAAGGACATTTTCTTTTAGACAGTTTCCTACATGTATATAAATATTCTGATTACACTGCCTGCCCTCTGCCTTTCATCTCCCTCCTATCACTGTCAACCCTCAAACCGCATCTGTACCAGTCCCTTTTTCCAGGGTCATGACTTTTGGTTTGGTGTTTGTGACCCATTAAATTTACTCAGGGCCGTGTGTGTGGCCATTGGGTTGGAACTATACATTTGAGCCTGGAAGGCTTATCAGTGGATGCCTAGCTGCGGGTCAAGAAGTCCTCTTTCCCGACTCTTACCAGTAGCAAGCATTTGGGATGAGGGGTAGGGCTCTCGGAGCCCCACTCCTTCCATTCCTGACTTTTGAAGGGCTCATCCTAGTGCAAAACCACTGTATTCATAGCAGCTGTGCATTCAGTTACCATTGCTCTGATTGTTCAGAAGACGGCATCCTGTAGTCCTGCTCCCATCACCTGGCTCTACGTTCTTTCTTTCCCCTCTTCTGCAGTGTTTCCCTAAGCCCGAGCAAGGGTGGATAGCTGCCTTACTTAGGGCTTATTATTATCTATCACTTATTCTCAGCACTTTGTACAGCCACAGTCTATACTACCATTCATTAGAAAGAGGTTTCTCTAAGAATGATAATGGATGAGGCCCATTTCTCTATGGGTATAAACATAAATATTTTAAGGCAGCTTGATGCTGCCAATTTAGCAAAATAATACTGTTTAGTCCCCCCAGCCCATGTTTGTCTTTTTGACCAGATTTAGAGCACTAGGCTCCCCTTGTGGATCAGGGCTCAAATCAACATCAGTTGGTTATCCTCCTAACAGTAGCGCCCCGATGGCGCAGGTGGGCACCTCTTCCCTGAAAGATTGGATTTGTAGATGTACAGTTACTTCCTTGGTACAACTCTTGACATTTGCCTCCTAGCAAACTCCTGGGACCTGCAAAGAGAGGGAGGAGGTTTTCTGCTCCACCCCAGCTTGATTTCTCAGTGCATGCATCCAAGGTGTGTAGTGAGGAATGGTAGATGCTGAACACGTGCTACCACGTGGACACACCTTAAAGACCTAAGTGAAACGAGCCAGACACAAAAAGGACAAATACTGTTATGACCCTACCCACATGAGACCCAGAACAGTCCCCTCCACAGGGATGGAGAGGGCGGTGCTTGTCTAGGGAGTGGCCCGAGGAGTAAAGCGCGCAGTGTTTGTGTTTAGGGTGATAAAAAGGTTAAAGGGGTGGATAGTGGCGATGGATGTACAACACTGTGAGTGTGCCGAATGCTGCTGAACTGTGCGTTTAAAGATAGTTCAAGTGGTGATTGTGAATGCATTGTGTGCTTGCACGAAACTCCCAAAGTGCAAACATAGTATATTGAAATGGCTTTAAGGATTCGTTTGTTACGTATGTTTCATTATAAAATATGTGTACGTGTTTACGTATATGCATAGAGTATCTATATTTTAGAATAGGTCCCTGGTTTAATAATTCACATCACAAAGAGCGTGCTGAGCAGACACTCACTCGCCCTCACTCTCCCTCTGTAGGCGTCACACACGCCGCCATCTGGGCAGCATGCATCTCTTACCTCAGCGCAGCTGTGCCCCCTGAGCTGAGGACTTCTGCACAGGGCATCCTGCAAGGCCTTCACCTGGGGTTGGGGAGAGGATGTGGTGCCATGATTGGAGGCGTGTTAGTCAATTATTTTGGTAAGAATAATTTTTCTTTTGTTCCTTTGGGGGAAATAGGGTGTTTATTTTTTCACCTATACCAGAGTTCAACTTCAGTATTCCTGTCCTTTTGTACATTGCATGGTCATCATAATTGTAAAGCTTAGGCTGTGAAGATGTTTAGAGCCAGCTCATAACCCAGTCTTCTGGCAAACAGCTTAATGAAATGCTGTGGAAACCTCAGAGGAGCTGAACAAAGGAGTGTGCACACATGCTTTTTGTTGAGTCAGGTACCCAGACTTGCTGCTAACGATAAAAAACAGAGTCCATCGCTGTTCCTCACAAAATCTTAACTAGTCACTGGTCATGTCACTCCACCCTCACCTCACAGTCAGACTGCCTCATCAGACCTCTCGGTGGAAATACGAGGGCTGAGACAAATCAGATTATCCTGGGATTTTTGACTGCCCGGTCTTCTGTGCGAGGCACGTGGGCTTGTGTGAATTCGTAGCACTGTTTGAGCCCTGCTCTCCACATACAGACAAGCAGCACTGTGTGTTAACCAGTTGGTAGACAGTCACCATAAAGATAGTGCTACTGAGTGCCCTGTCAGGGTGGAAGTTAGGGAACCAGAACTGGGGTGCCCTGCTGCTCCCGTGTTCCCCCATTACAGGACACTGACTGGGATCAGCCAAGCTGCGCTTCCTCTCCCTGGTGTTAAGGTGGAAGGTGGCTGTGTCCTGGAGTCACCGTCTGGCCTGCTCTGCTTGCTTTCAAGGGGCTGCTGCAACCTTCCGAGGAATTGGCATGGCCTGCTTGGTGATCCTCCTGCTGTTCGCCCTGATCCAGTGGCTGGCAGTGCCGGACGACGAAGAAGGTGAGCATCTCCTCTCCTTTCTTCTTTGGGGCCGGGGCGGGGGTGGGAGTGGGGTGGGGGTTGAGACTGGGCTTCTGTATGTAACCCGCATGAGTCTGCAGCCCTGCGTCTTTCTATTGGCTCCCTGAGAACGCCACTACCCTGTGAACAACTGGCCTGCAGATGACATACTCTCACATGGTAGAGATGACACCTCCTGTGACAAGAAGACTGGCTGCTGAGCTGATTGTGGTTTTCTAGGTTTTGTTTTACATAACAGTGCGAAGTGCTGTGGAAGCATTAGTTTTAAACCTCCCGAGAATTATTAAGAAATTTCAGACTTAAGGCAAATACATATAAGGCTGCATGGTACCTTCCTACTAGGGACGGGGTGCTTTTATTAATCTCTATGCCTTTACCGTCACTAAAAACCTGTCTACTGATGCTTCTGAGAGGCTTGGCCTTTAGTAAAACTGTCACACAAAAGGGAAGAGAGGGCCCGGGAGATAGCTCAGCAGGTAGAGGCACCTGCTGCCAAGCCTGAAAACTTGAGTTCAATCCCAGGGAGCCACATAGTGAAAGGAGAAAACCAACTCCTTCAAGTTGTCCTCTCGGGCCTTCATGTGTGTTCTATGTCACTCCTACAAACACCAGACACACAGTAAATAAATAAAAATATAATTCAATTTTTTGACATTTTAGTTGTAAGGCTAACTTTTATCATCTGAACCATCTCTCCAGCTGATATAAAAAAATTTTTTTAAAGGAGGGAGGTTTTATCAAATGTAATGTGTACATGATATGAACAAGTGACATGAAGCTCTGGGTGAAAAAGGTCAAGCAATAGACTGCATTTGTTCTTGATCACGCTGCGGCCCAGCACAGAACTGCTCATGTTGGAGTCTCCATCTTTCCAGCAGCACTAGCCTAGGGGCCCATGGTGCTTCTAGTAAGAGAAAATACTGTGTGTAACAGAACTTCAGAGGAATGGTTCAGTCCCACTGAGCTTCTCAGGAGAAAGCCAGTGGTGGTTCTTCTCTGTCCACGAGCACGGGCTCTAGGTGTGTGCCACCGTGTTAGGCTGAGTCTGGGGTTCTAGGTGTGTGCTACCGTGTCAGGCTGTGAGCCTGGGGCTCTAGGTGTGTGCCACCATGTCAGCTTGAGTCTGGGGTTCTAGGTGTGCTCCACTACCATGTCAGGATCATCTTCTTTTTCGCATTGTTTTTAATATGTAGATAACTCAAAAATAATTTTATCATTAATTTTCTCTCTAGACAAGACAATGTTGGCAGAAAGGATTCCTGTTCCCTCTAGTCCTGTTCCCATAGCAACTATCGACCTGGTACAGCAACAGACAGAAGATGTCATACCACGCATTGAGCCCAGGCTTCCGCCCAAGAAAACCAAGCACCAGGAAGAACAGGAGGATGTGAACAAACCAGCCTGGGGGGTCAGCTCTTCTCCCTGGGTGACCTTTGTCTATGCTCTCTACCAAGTGAAAGAGATAATGCAACTGACAAAAGACAGCCGTGCTTCTGAGATACAGCCTTTACAGGTAACCCTCTGCTGGACTAGCCGGGCACCTTCACTCTTCCTCCTTCCTCGTTCATCAAAAGATACGGAAAGCCTGGTAGGACAAACAGACATGCAAACAGAGGGTTTCAGTGGTCTGAGATCACTCTGACACAGGAGTGTTTACGAGGCAGCATAGAACGAGATTGTGCTTTATAGAGCTCAGAAAGGCTTCACAAAGGAGTTGATAATTCTAAAACAACAAAACAAAATCTCTTATGTGTTAGTGCTAGAAAATACAATCTGCAGCCAGAATATACAGTGCTTACTTTTGGAAACTATATTACTAATTTCCATAATTTCAGAATTCCAAGGGGATCATTATACACACCAGGAATGCAGTGACCAGCTGCTAGCAACCCACTAATGCATGCCCAGATGGCTCTATCTGATCCCTGCGCAGTCAAGTGTGGCTCTGAGAGGCCTCACTTGGGAGGTAAAGGCATGGTCTTTCTTCCTAAAGGAGCAATCTTCCCTGAGAAAAGCCAAATGGTACTGATAAAATCAGCAATTACATAACAAAAGTAGCATCCTAACTTTTTGAAAGGAATGTAGCTACTGAGGACAATTTGGTCAAAGCAGTAAACCTACTTCCTTGTTATGTCAACCTTTCCATTTTCTTGATAAGTAATGTCAGCTCTGTACTTAAAGTCGCATAAAAGGACCCAGAGCAGGTCAGGCAAGATGGCTCAGTTGGTAAACACACCTGTCCCCATGCCTGATGACCTGAGTTTGTTCCCTACAATCCACATAGTTGAAGGAGAAACTCCCACAAGTTGTCCTCAGATTTCCATACCCACATCATGGCACACTTACACACACAATAAAAAAGGGACTCAGAAGAAAAAAATGAGAGAATATAAACAGTAATTTCTTTTTTAAAAAACTAACAAACTAGTGGTGATCACAGAGATGGTCCAGCAGCTGTGTCTGCTGCTTTGGGCTCAAAGCATCCATGATGGGCGGATCACAGCTGCCTGTAACACGAGTTCCAAAGATCTAAGGGCCTTCACGGACACCTGCACTCATGTCCCATACACCACCGCAGGCCCACACATAATTAATTCAAAATAGAAACAAATCTTCATAAAAGAAAAAGCAAGTTTGTCAAACTAACTTCATTAATCTTGGCTTCATAAACTCTAACTGCACGGTTTTACCAAACTGACCTTTCACTGGTGGCCATATGCCTGCCCTTCTGGGCAAATCCTCCTTACTCAGCTATCAAGCCAGGACTGGACATGAGAGTGGGACGCACCGGAGGCTTCTGTTCCTTAGAGCAGGAAGGTGTTGCTGGGAGAGGATGCCCTGCTACCTGAGAGGCAATGCTTTGTGAACCCACCCTCATTCTCACAAAGGCCCAGGAGCCTACACAGCATTAAAGTCTGCTTTTCACACCCTCTGGCATGAGTTAAAATGAAAGGATAACAGGAATGGTATAGTATTGATACAGTATTGACATGATAGAGTAATTACATTTCAGAATGTAGGTTAAAGGACTGACAGGTATTAATACAGTATTGATATGAAGTAATTACATTTCAGGATCATAGGAATGAAAGAAAAAATTAGTTAAACTACAGAAAATAGAAGTGGTAAGCATCAGTTCAGAAGAAAACCATTTCTAAAAACCATGTTCCCTGACTCGTACGATCAATGTGGCATTTTACAAATCTGTGCTTGAGTGTGTTCTCCGTTCGCTCCCCCTGGCTTCACAAAGCTCGTTTACACTCCCCACTGTCTTAACTATTACCTCGTGCTCATTTTGAAATCCCACATGTACATTAGACTCTGCACCACAGGCATTCTTTGCCTGGCTATCTTGAGGCTGAGGGTCCTTGCTGACTTCCCTCTGGACAGTGTCTCCTGTCTCTTGAATACTGGGATTTTCCCAATGGCTAGCATTCGGGTATCCCATGGCCCTTGCCCGGCGACTTGCCATAAGGCTGGGGTACTCGGTAAATATTTGTGAATTAAGTTGTTTGCCTAGCAGTGACAAGAACACTGATAAATATTCCTTTGGCCATAAGGCATTGATAAATGTTCCGTTAGCCATAAGTTATGTCTGCTTATACTGCTTGTGTTTTTCATGCGGCTCTGGCAGTTGCACCTAGGAAAGGAGATGAAAGGTAAGATGTCTATCCTATTCTTTTATGCACTGGTCCCTGAAGTGGACTCTTCGAGATCTTCATGTTTGCTGTGTCCTACTTGAAAATATGTATAATGGATTGGAGTTATTCTCTCTCATACACCATGTAACATCTGTTTTTTCCTTCCAGGGGACCAATGAGAATTGGACAGTCTCTGCAGCTGCTGGAGCCCAGCGTGTCCCATGTGAGACTCACTCTGACCTACCTAGAAACCAGCCATTGCCAGACACAGCAGCATTTCAAACACAGTCCAGCCCCACTCATCCTAATGCTGCCCCACACACAGAGGAGAGTGGGGAGCAGGAGGCTCAGCCCACTGCGGGAGAACACTGAGGGCTCCTAACATCTCACACCTGCATGGCACCCCAGCCAGGACAGAGGGTGAGGACCCAACCCTGAACATGCCTGCCCAAGGGGAGAACCACACTGCATATGCTTCTAAATATCTATTTATGACTGTGGAAACACACACACACACACACACACACACACACACACACACGAGCTACAGCACATACTGGCAGGGAGAAGGAAATCTCCATGGTCCTGTAGAGATGCAGAACAACGCTGAGTGAGGACCCCTGCTCGTGGTTAGTTAGGTCTGACCTAACTTCTTTGCCAGGGTGTAAGGGTGGGAAGCAGAACTCACCAAGTTGGGAGAATGAGAGAGTCTCAACGTGAACAGGGATTTCATCTCCCTTTTCTGATTATTTATTCTAAATATTGGGTTCTTGGGGAGAAGAGAGAGGAAAAGAGTGTATCTATAGTTTTATTTGACTTGAAGAAAAACATTTTAAAAATTATAAGACATATTTAAAAGGGAACCAGATGGAAGCTAGCAGAACATATGCTTTTTCTGTTGTTTAAAAAGTTCAAAATTTCACTGAACTTTGCACATCTCTAGCAAATATATTTTTATATGCATATGGTATATAGTGAAAGTAGTTCCTTGAGTAGCAAAACTGTTATTGACTACTGCACACTGAGTTGAGATTTAAAATGCCTTTGTTGCAATGGGCTGTGAGAATGAGCAGAAGTGAAAGAACATTTCACAGAATCCAACCAACTCAGTATCCTAAGACTTGACAGACAGGCTTGACTAAGCAGGTCCTACTGTAACAGCCCCTGTCACTGTATTTCAGAGTGACTCGGGGGTCTAATTAGCTAATGAATAAAAATCAATTCACTGGATTCCTAAGCATTAAGTTTAAAAGTAACATTTACACTGAACAAGATTATTTAAGTGCCTGGGGGAGGGACGCAATGCTTAAACATTACATGGTAGGTCTGTTTTGTTTGGGAGGTAGTAAATGGGAAGCCAGGAATGAGAATTCTGGGAATAAGAGCAATGACTTTCTGATGACTTAAGAAACAAACCTTAGTATATTCTCCCCCAAATCACAGTCATACACTGGAACCTTTTAGCTTTGGGCTACAGCTATACCAGCACAGACAGGAGGTCTGGGTGGTCACATACAGAGCTTGGTCCTGCAAGGACAGCAGAGGCTGAGAGAGGCTGCGGAGGTGTGGGGAAGGGGGTGCTAAATGAAGGGCAGTCATATTGTGGATACACACTGAGGGTGAAAACCAGAGAAGGGTTAGGGAAGGGAAACCCATGGTCGCCTCCAAGCCTGAAGGGCTCTAATGTGGAGGCTCTGCGTGCCAGCTCTGCCTGCCCCTTCATCTGGGAGACCTTCTACACGTGGGCATCTAGCCTCATCACAAAACACAGCTGAAAATGAGGGAAACAATTAAGCAAATGGTTGTTTTGCACTAGAATGGTACTGTACTTTCAATCATCATGACTCATTTTAAGTGACCTTTAAAATCAGATGTATTTATTATGCTTGTGAAATTACAGAAATGAAGTGGGAGACAGGCTGAGCCCCACCTATGAATGTACAGAATGTGGATCTGTGAAGCTGACTGTAGGGAGTCAGAACCTTGTCTCTTGTGTTTACAGTTCTGGTTGATGTCTTTGAAAAGCCTGCTGTTTTTGGCGATGCACAGTGGATGTGTAGAAATAAAAAGTAAATACCACTTTAAAATATTTCTTAAATGAAAAACATGTGACCAAACAAGTGAAAAATCCTCTGCTGTGATGAACGACACCAAATTCAACATGCCTTTGTTACAAAATGTTTACTGTAAGCGTCGATCCAACAATGCAGTAATTTCCAGCCTTCTCAGCTGACACTCCTAAGTTTGTGGACTTTGTGACTTTTTCTTCCTGTCCTTAAAGTGCCATATGTCACTTAAAAATATTAAAATGAATTCCTATTAAATTTGATTTGAGAATTTTATAACCCCTCTTGAGGTCCTTGGAAGTACTCAGGGTGTCAAAGCCCAGGCTGGTAATCACTGCTCTAATGGCTGCTCCTGCTCCCCGGGGCCTGCAGCACAGTAAGTTATCCTATAGTTCCGTGTGGACCCAAATTGGCTGAGGCTAATTACTACACTACTCCTTACATCCTAAAGCACAATAACAGCACATTCCAAAGGGCAGGGCACCTGAAAGGCCAGTCATGGGACAAAGTTACTTCACTGTCCTAGAGCTGTGGTGGGAGGTGGACAGGCTCCCGGGGAATTGCAGCTTGATACTGGGGCACTGCCTAGGCAATCCGCCTCCCAGCACGGTAGTTAAGTGCAGTGCCTACAGGAAGAGGCTCAGCCATGGTGTTTGCTGTGTGCTGAGATTATCACGTGTCTTTTTAAAAAGCTCTACCTGGTACACAGCACCATCCTCATTAAAACTATAAGGGTTGGCAAGCCAACAGAGCCCAAGTTCTGTGATCATGGTCAGAGGCAAGATTCACAGTGAAATCTTGCTAGCACCAGAACCCTGCTCTGCCTACCAACTCCTCCTCATCCTCATGGGAGGGAAGGCTTCCACTGTGGAACAGGCTACAGACAGCCCAGCCCTGAGTCATGTGTGCCTGAAACCCATGTGTGTTTGTTTCTATTCTGGATTTCTAGACAGCCCCGAAAACCTTAAAACCCAAGCAATAGCCATACGCTAGTGTAATTTCCTGATAAGACTGGAAGTTAGTTTTGCTGTCCCAATTTGACTGTTATGACCTGGCTGTGACTCTTACACTTGAAATGTGGCTAGTGTGTCTCTGAAGATTTGGATCTCTAATTTTAAAACTTTCCAGGGTGTAAACTGCCATACTAGATGGCACAACCTACGGGAAGACAGGGCCTGTGCAAAGTCTTAGGCCTTCACTCCCCCAACTTGTACAGGAGCACTTGGACCCAAATGATGTTACTCTAAGAAGATGAGGGCAAGATTATGAGAGCCATTACAGGAAAGGGAAACAGCTATTTCCCATCCAGACCTCCTGCCTTCAGTGCACTGAGACAAGACACAGGCTATACCGGAAACTCTAGACCACTCATGGACCGTTTCTCCAAAGCTTTTTAAAAATCCCTGATGTAGAACTTCTAAACCAATGGGCATCTGGGAAAGTGATGCTTGTATGAGGACAGGATGAGGGATGAAAGAAAGGAAGTTTCTCAAATCAGAAGTTAGCTTATGCAGGACGAGCTGTGGCTTACAAAAAGGAGTAACTCACCGCTGTCTGGGAAAATGTGAGGCAGCACTGCTGAGCATCTCAGCAGAGTCCCATCTGCTCTGGGCCGCTAACACAGCCACTCAGAGACCTCACAGTGCTAAGGTTAAGAATGTGGGCACAGGGGGGCCAGAAGTCTGTCTGGACTGAAGTGTCAGCTCTGTCAGTTACAAATTAAGTGGGCCTCAGCGGCCTCCTGTGTAAACCTGAGGTTTCAATGAGAGATAGTATAGATAGTATAGACCCAGGTAAATGTGCTTTTTGAGACAGAATCTGCTGGTCATGTGAGTCTCGGCGTCTTTTCTTGTGCCAGCTACAGAACTGACTACAGACCGGCTAACGGGAGACAGGTTTTCTGGAAAATGAAAGTCAGGTGTGAGTCAGGCAAAGAAGTGCCACCATGCAGTGCCACCCGGTGGAGTCTGGGAAGGCAGCATGTTCACAGGGTGGTCTGAAGATACACGTCTTCCTGCAGGCTCCATCACCGCTACATCCCATGCTACCAATGTGCAGTATCCCCTTTCAGTTAGACGGAAAAGCCAACCCAAAAGATGCATAGCAATTCTGGGGACTCATCAAATCGAGGAGAAAGTGAGGTCCTATTTGGGTTGTTATTTATCAACATCATCTCTGGTCTTAAACTATGTATACATTCAGATATATTATATTAATAATATATTAATGATTTAATATATTAAATAATCAGCTATTCCAAAAATTTTAACCTCTTGAATTTCCAAATAGTTTAAAATATCACAAATTCAAATGTTTTCCTGTCAATGGACACTCCCCTATAATTCAGCCCTAAGTATTTTTTTGGCAAACTATATAACTAATTCACAAAGCATTTTTGTGCTTGTAAAATGTGTTTTAAAACCCTTTAAAAATAACATTTAAATGATATGATTTTGAAGCCACTGAAGCATGGCCACCCACAATGCGTCTCTCCCACACATCTGGTGTCAAACAGTCCAACTTACTCTTAACAGGAAGCTTTGCGAGCATCTACTGTAACAAGCACAGCACAGGGTTCTGGTGCATGCAAGGCAAGCCTGGGAAGGCGTGCAACACACTAGCTGCCACTGAAGGGCAGGGCCATGAGCCGAATGATCATTGAGTTTCAAGACTTTAGAAAGCGGAGGAAGGAAAAAGGGAAGATGGATGATGGTCATTGCTTGATGGGGATTAGGGTTGTAACGGGTATTTGTCAAACACTGAATCAGAGGCAATGATACAAGCCCACCAAATACCTATTTCACCAGAAACACTTTGTTTAGCTTCTCACAGTAGTCGCAGAACAGTCCGACAGGTCCATGAGTCCTTCCAATCAAGCATGAAACCGCATCCCAAAAGACTGCCCAGTTTCCACTGGGCCATGCTGGCTCGCTGCTCCGGGGAGCTGCGGCTTCCAGGGTGGTCGCTGCTGGCTCGGAAAGGCTGCCGGTAGTCTAGAGCGTCGGCAGGCGTATCAGTCACACAAAACACATTCTATACCAAACTGCCTAGTGAGAAGTAAACGTGGCTCTGCACATGGCACACCTGGCAGATTACAATACACCACCAATAAATAAAGTCACAGAAAACAAAAACCAGATTAAGCTGCAACAAAATGTTGGAACCCCTGTCTATACCTGAAATTAGTAGCCACAATGAATGGAAGCACACTATTTGTGCATGAATATTTTGTCTGTGTGCACATATGTGCAACCCATGCATGTCCAGTGCCTTCAGAGTCAGAAGAGGGTATCAGATGCCCTGGGACTGGAGTTCTGGGTGGCTGCTGGGGACTGGTTCTGTAAATCTTAACTGCCGAGCCATCTCTCAGACTCCATTCTTCCGACTTTAAAATCAGCATCATGCAGAGGCACAGATGAAGCGGAAGAGGCTCTAAGGAAAGGAAAAAGACTCCTGATATTAGCTGTGTCTGTCAAAGTGCAGAGCCAGAAACACTGACACACTGCTTCAAAGACCACATCGTCTGAAAGCCAATCTAGAAAGTTCCAAAAAGTCAGCATCATTCTCAGGATATTACCGTGACAAACTGTGTCCCTCCCTCACTGCACCTTTCTTTTTAAAGGAGGATGTCATGTTCTTTCTTTTTTTTTTTTTTTTTAAATAATTACATTACAAAAGAAAAACCAACCCTGCATCTGATTCTCAGAGGATCCAGGAGCACTGTCCTCCAGTGTTCACCATATTCAACTCTCATACCCAATGTTTCTGCACTTTTCCTTGGGGTCGAGGCAACAGGTAGTGGCTCATTTCATGCTGGAGTTTATCATGGATCAAGAAGCAAACATTTACCCTATTAAAAAAAAGTATTACAAATCTCTTTTGTGAGAAATCATCGCAAGCATATAATCAGTTTTTAAAAATATCAAAATATCACAAATGGTTCTGTGCTTTTAACTTTAATATATAAAAAGTACAAAATTATAGTTTTAATCGGTCTGCATATAAAATCTTGTCAAAACATTGAACATAATTCAAAGAAATGTTTCTTTTTAATCATAGTTATTAAGAAGCTAATGGCTAACTGGCCATTATTTAAATTAAAAACAAACAAACACTTGAGGCACCAACAATGTGGGACCAAGACTGTAGGGAGACAGTCCTGAACCTGCAAATGAAGAAGTGGCTTACACCTGAGTCCCAGGATGCACCAGGGATGAAGTGCTGCCAAGGCTGCTGAGGACACTTCCATTCTGACTCTCAAACCTAAGTTCCACCATCAATAGCACTTCCAAACATCTGTTCTCAAGATTATTGCTCTCAGGGAAAATGGTTTATGGTAAGTCCTTGTATATGACTGTCGGCCTCTTAGCAGACCCACAATGCCTTCACACCACGAGAGACGGAGAAACCTGCCGCAGCCAGCCTCGGAACTCCTTCAACAGCACTTACTAGTGCCCTGCAGACGGCACTTTAGAAAAGACTGGTACCGCTGACACGGAGGACTGATACAGTCTTTTGATCTAGCTTTGGGGCATCAGGGGAGGACTCGTGCCTGTTGGAGGGAAGGCCTCAGCTCCTGCTACTGGTCCAAACAGCAGGTTCCCATTGTTCTAGTGAAGGTCTTCATTCCCGGCAAGTGGAAGTGGTTCTTACAGTCTTCGTGCTACCCACAGATAGCAAGTGAGCTGCAGGGGTAGGTTCTCTTCGGCAGATGAGGCTTTCCTTACTCGTATGGCTTCCTTTTCTCTGCAGGGCATACTTTTCCCACTGCCCGCCAGATGGGTTCTTCCCAGCTGTCACGCAGCTTTGCCTTTTGACTTCCTTGCCTGGAAGTCAACTTCCAGGTAGACTGTCAGTCTGCAGGCTAAAGAGCTGCTCTTCCAAGAAGGCACCCCCAAGGCCATACTGCTTTTCATGGGCGCTGACCTCCTCCGGTGACAGGTGGCTGGCTCCAAGAATAAAGTCTGCAAACCTAAGACGTTTTGGTTTTAAACAGTTAGTTTTGTCACAAAGATTTATCTGAAAGACGATGTGTGCCTTGCTACTTATTCCTTTTAATTAAATTGACTTTGTGTCAGCCAAGGATGGCATTTCCACCCTGTACAGGGACTGATTTATGTGACCTTCTGTGGACAGCTATGCAGGGGAAAATGGAAACATGGGCAGGTTTATGCCCTAGACAGGTGGGTGCACCCCATCATTCCCTCATCTCTTCCCTGTTCCTTCTGAGTGTAGTATATTGTTCAGATTGTCAATATCTCGCTCAGATCTGCATGATACCTCACACCTCAGTAGCTCTCTGGCCAAGCCAGAGCACCCAGGAAGCAGAACTCCCACAACTTTGGTGTAAGGTTTGACCAAGAGAAATTGTTGCTTTCTAAGCAGAAATATGTGCCCCAAAATACTGTGTAATTTTCAAATCACTCAGAACATGAGCTGTGGCAGGGCAGGACTTACTTTTTAGGAGCCTGGAGTCTGGAGACAGCCAGCCAGGACGGGAAGTCGGGCCTGCAGCAGGCTTGGCGCAGTTCCTCAAGAGCTCTGGCTGTTTCGGCCTCAGTTTGCTCCCTGTACTCATCATCACTGAGATACCTCACCACCGGCGGTTCTGTTGTAAACCATGGCCTTATTTTCCTAAAACATATGACATGGTTGCCTGATTCCTGCCCATATGGTATGGTGTACAAAATACCATATGATGTACAAACATACAGGTCTTGGACATCGAGAGTAATACCACTGAACTCCTGGTACTAGGTCCTGGACTTGCACCATCCTGTGACTAAGGGGCAAGGAATGGTAGCCTGGGCCCATTGTACTTTCTTAGTTCTCTGGCCAGCATAGCAATGTCCTAAGGCCTTTCTCAATTTCTGATTAATATGTTCATGTTTTTTCAGGGATTTCTAATCAAACAATTAGACAAAAAGTCTGGCATTCTGCTTTGCCTGTTGATTTTCTTTGGCACAAACAGAAGTGAGCTTTCAATGTGTCCTTTTATGGAGAGCAGGGACTTAAACCAGTCAGTACACTCGCAAGAGGCTGCATCTGCGGGGTATCACTCCCACCTAGTGGCAGTGCTTTTGATTAACCTGGCACAGTGAGCAAAGATGCACAAAGGTTTGTCGTGGAAAAGAACTCGAATTAGTTCTTCTTTGGCTACATATGCACTAAGAAGCCAGAGACTAGGAAAAGGATAAATATCGTAATACAGCAATCCAGGCTTTAGGAATTCAAAATGTTAATAAAGACGATTAGGTTTTAAGTAACCTTTATGCTACATTCATCAGCGAGTCTTAAAAATGTAGAGGTCTCCAAGGGTTTAAACATGCACACATATGCACATACATTCACACGTGTGTATGCATGCACACATACGCACACACCTACATACACACACACACACACACACACACACACACACACACATATTTGAGGGCTGAGATTTTAAAGATTTTTTTTTCCTTTTTAAGGCTGATTTAATGGTTGATAAATTGGACTGAGGAATCAGTGAAATGCTTTCTTCTCTTTTGAATGCCTAGCCAGGTTTCCTACAGAAAAACCCAGGTTCTGACCCAGCTTCCAGGGTCTGTGTCACTGTGTCACATGAAAAGGAGACAGCAGTACCACTGCCTCACGAGATACTTATACAAATTGCTCTGCAGCACAATCAAAAGAATATCATATATTATTAACATATACATAAACAGCTCTTTGCAAACTATAAAGTATGATAAAAAAATCAAGGCATTCTTTCTCTGAGTTAATATCTAAATTACAAGTTCCTACTTTAGTCCCTATGTTTTCATATAATTATTCCTTAGCAAGATTTAAAGTAGACAGCATAGCAGTACATACGGATTATTACAGAATGCCCCACAGATGCATGATGGAGCCAGCATGCAAATGAGACATACTTGCTACTAACAGGAATGCTGGGTAGCTAAGGGAAGGAGCAAGGAAGTGTCCATTGGGATCCTCAGGCCACACCTCTGGCAAAGATGCAGTAGCCAGCCTCCTCCTGGTGGAGAGGCCTCGGGTAATCCCTTGGTCCCCATGCCTCCCACTCAGCCTGTCACTGACCTGGACAGTCACGGATCCCTTTGCCCCAGTGATGCTGCCACCAACTCCATGACCTACCTGTCACCAGGGAGTCTCCTGCCTCAGCCATTTCCCAAGCTTCTATTAATCAGCCTTCCCAGCCTTTATCTCGCTCTCCTACTCCAAGTCTGTACAGTGTCTGCCGGCATCGTAGCAGTGCCCAAGACCATCTCCTGCTGTAGGAGCTTCCCTGTATACCAATCTTCTATGTCAGAAAGCAGAAGGGTCTACCCCACCAGCCAACGAGTACCCATCTCTAGCTGAATTTTTGTCTGTCAGCCGCACCCTTTATTTTTCATTAGATTAACTGCCGACACTTACACTACACAGATCACATTTGAATTGCAGTCTGCATTTGCAGTTTTCCTAGACTGTCAGATCTGAAAGCAGGACGCACATTTGCACTGTGCTCCACCAATCGGCTCCTGCTGGTTTGAATGACCGCCACTATGATGGTGGGTGCAGCAGTTTTCCAGAGTCCCATCGGCTGCCCACTGCTGTACATCTACCGGGGCCCCAACTCCTGGATTTATACATTCTGTCTAGGCAGGCATCAGAGAGAACTAATGAAAATGCACACTGGCCAGCCGCCCCCCGCCAGCCCCCACATACAGAACCAGTGCAGCCTGTGGCACTCGGCCATAGTCCCACCAGAGCACAGCCCACTCACTGCCCTGAGAGGGCTGCGGCCTGATGATGGCACTACGTGGGCCTTTTCTGAGAGGAAAGCCCTCCTCGTGTGTTATGGCCACTCTGGGTCCTTACCTAGATTCAACCCAATGATACCTCTTCCAGGAACTCCTGCCTGGACTAACAGCACTGCAGCCCCTGCGGAGCTCTGCCTTCACACCTAAAGTGTGGGGGTGGAAAAGGTGGCTCAGTGGCTACGAATGCCAACTGCTCTTCCAGAGGGCTGCAGTATGGTTCCCAGCACCCACATCAGGTGGCTCGCAGATGCCTGCAACTGCAGCTCCACAGGGTCTGATCCTTCTTCTGGCATTCTGGGTACCCACAAACATATGGCAGGCAGACACGCACACACACACACACACACACACACCTTTTTTTAAGGCAGCAAATATATAAATGCATGCCCATGTCTCCACAATACACCACAAGCACAGGACCATCTCCACCTGTGCACCTAACACAGCTGTGCAGACTAAGGAGACGCCTAACAATATTGTCAGCAGAGGTTACTTTTTCTCTCTTTCTGTATTCTCGCAAGGCTTAAACCTTAATTCAAAACCTGAAACAAAGCCAGCCTTTAATAAGAATGAATTGAATAGCTCCCCTCCCAACCATTTATGACACATTTCCCCCTAATTCTTTTCTTATGAGCACAATTAAATCACTATAGCAATACTGGCTCTAATGAAAAGAAAGGTACGATAAAGGTAACATTTTTATGCAACCCAGAGCTCAAGCAATTTTGTCACTGATTTTTGGGCACTCTAACTACTGAGTAAATGGTGTCATAAAATTCGATGGAGACTGGAACAAATGCTTAGAGATATTTTTCCTTCTCTTCTTTCAGAGTGAAACCTCCAGATTAAATATAACTACTTGGCTGGGCAGTGGTGGTGCACACATTTAATCCCAGCATTTACGAAGCAGAGGCAGGCGATCTCTGAGTTCCAGGCCAGCCTGGTTTATAGACTGAGTTCCAGGACAACCTGGGCTTCACAAAGAAACACTGTCTAGAAAAACAAAAAACACACACACAAACAACAACCTGTAAGATGTAACCTATAAGATGTAACCAACATTATCTCTAAAACAATACATAAAGCCAGAACTCAAAATGTCAGAGTTGGTGGCCAGAGGAAAGATACCCACCACCTCATATAGCTGAGTGCTCTCAGTGGGTAGTGCAGACTCTGGGAGAACATGAGGAGGATCATAGCTGCACAGGCAAACTGAGGCACAGCCACACCGGTGTAGACCAGAAGCAGGGAGAGCAACCTCAGTGTCCACATCAGAAGGCTTCTGCTCCCATCATCAGTAAGAGGCCCGTGACTGTAACAGGCAGCAAAGCTAAAGAGTCCAACAACTAAGACATAGCCTGGAGACACAGAAAAAGGGCAATAATTTAAGCCTGAACTTGAAAACTGATGTGGAAAATCTGGCAGAGCCTTGACTGAAAAACAACATTGAAAAACATATCATCATCATCATCTGTCCATGTGTGTACATGTGGTACTTACAAAGGCACTGGCTTGCCGGCAATGGTAAGGTAACCAATCGAGGTAATGGAAACTAAACTTTAGGCCTCTGGAAAAGCAGCAAGCACTCTAAACCACTGAGCCATTGCTCCAGCCTGACAGGCTGACTTTTGTAATAATTTAAGACACATCCTGGCAATTATGATAATATGTCTATTTTTAAGTCCCGTGTCCTAGTAGACAAATGGTTTTATGGTTGCTTTAGTTAAAAGTAAGCCAGTGGATCTACAGTTTGCTGCAAACCCTATTTTTAATTTTTACCTTCTAGTCACTAAAGGAGAATGTAATTTTACAGATGACCAATCAGGTGGCTACCCAGTGCTAGCCACGAGCAGTCCATCATTACCAATGGTGTGACCATCAGATACTTTCTTTCCAGTGCTACCAGATGGGAAGTGTACATCACTTCTAATGATTTCCATCATAAGTGCTTTAGTTGTTTCTAAGCAAATCTCGGGATTCAATTTCTAATTTACAGTAGATACGGAGAAGAAATAAACAAGTTATATGTTGTCACAAAATGGGCAGTACAGGAATCCAGAGAGTGGAACCGTCACAGGACGTCTTACTCAGCTTCTCCAGCACACCTCTGTGATGGATCAAGAGTAACCCGACCTTGCAGAAGGTTCAGCATGACATCAGGTTAGACAGTCAGCCAGCATGGGTAAGTCGAGTCTTACTGTGACCTGGGCAATAGGTGACTCTATGCAATTACTAATCCTTAGCATCCACTATCGAGTTCAGGTCATAACTCAGTAGAACAACAGATGCTGAGCATATATGAGGCCCTAACAACTGTAATTAATAGTTATATAGAAAAATGCTCTTGTTTCTTGGAGACAAAGAGAAAAGGAAGTTAAAGGAATATTCCATGTTATGAGTAAACTATAAGTACTTTAATATACTAGGAAAGTAAGCAGAAATAAAGTATTCAAGAATGAATTGCTTTTGTTTTAGCAACATTACCCTTACATGTGAGATCTGGTTAATGGGTCTCCAATTCCCATTATTTCCTAACAAAATGAAGGATTTTTTTTTTGTAACATAGAACAAAAGAATTAAATTTTATCCTGCTTCTGAAAAGTCAAGTTTTCATTAGTTACAATTCCCCACCTTTTACACAGTATACATAAAGAAAAAAAACCTGAGAGAGTAAGAGAGCCAACTTTTAGAGATGCTTTTCTGTCACAGCTTAGATGTGGTTAAAGTCAGCCACAATTCCAATGCATTTTTACTCTCTTGATGATTTTTACAGAAGACTGAGAAAGTTTCTAAAGAAAAATAGTTTAAAGTGGGATCTTCGGAACTAAAACACCAAATATGGAAATGAAATATTATTTTTAATAGCACCTCTCCTTAAATCAAATGACAATGTATACGGAGAGAAACATCAGCCAGAAGCCCTCTGCTTGCACTCTCAGCCTAACCAATAACAGAAGGTTCTTTTGTGCATTTACCTACCTAATACATACATCCTGTTTCCACACCACAGCTGCTTCAGATCTTCCATCAACCGGCACACAACATAAACTGAAGCAAACCAACAACCAACCATTAGCGCCCCAAACGTGCTATACTGTGTGCGGAAGAAAATAAACGATACAATATATACATATATTGGTTCGTCCACTCTCATAAAAATAGAAGCAAACAAACAAATTTTTTGTGCAGAAATGTCTAGGTCAAGTCTAAGTCACAGTCTAATGCTCTCTGAGTCTTACTGTTCAAGGCATGGTCCTCGGAAGGGGAGAGTCATTTTCACACAGGAGCTGAGGCGGCCATGTAGGCTCAGGTCCCATTGCTAGACCAGAATCAACATTTTAACAAGCCCTCCGGGTGGCTAGCATCATTAAAGCTGCAGAGACACAAAGTTATCTCAAAATAATGCTGGTATTTAGAGCTCAGATTGGAGTAACCATAAGTTCCCATCATGAATTAATATTTATTTTTGGGACATTATTTTATTAAAGGTGTAGAGGAGAGACACCAAGAACAACAACAACAACAACAAAAAAAAAAAACTAGATATAACACCACTATTCTATAAAGCCCTAAAGACGCAGGATCAAAAGGATACAAAAATGTCAGCAAACTTAATATAATTCTATATATTATACTAATAAATGAAAACTGACTTTTCAGAAACAGACACATTTAAGGTTGATTTATACAACAGGGAAGCACAGATAATAAGTATCATGCTAAGAATTAAGTTTGATTCATTTTTCATATTTGTAAACTCTTAGTTCCCATTTGCGTCTAGTACTCATTTGCATCTAGAATACCTACCTTTGGAATGTGTCTCTTAGCCATCAGAAGGACAAAGACTAGTGTCATTACAACACCTAACATGGTACCAGCGGAGTAATAGAAAACAGAACTTCTGTCAAGACAGAAAAAAAGGCCACATAAACATCAAGCAGCATTTTCAGCAATACAAACTAAAAATAAATTCAGAATGCTCAATGTGACAATAGTAGCCCATAAGGAATGTTGAAGATTGAAATGGGTACATGAAAGTGTCAGTAAGTGGACTGCTGTGGAATGTCTGAGTTACTGTCTACATTCCCAACGTCATCCAATAATATGCACCTGGCACACGGCAAGCACTTGCCTGAGAGCTTTCCATGAAGTCTCATGATACCCAGAGTGAAATCCCAGAGAGAAGGAAACTGAGACATCAAGAAGTTAAAAGACGTTTATAAGTGAGTCAACTGCTGAGGATTCAGGGCAGCAGCCCAGCTCATTAGTGTGAAGGACCTTGATCTGAGGCTTTCCTCTCCTGCCACACATGCCTCCTCCAGGCAGAAAAGCTGGCAGGCACCATTTACACCTGACCAAACCATACAAAAAAATTCAAAGTGAACAATGGCAAGAATGATGCAGAAACACTGGTACTAAGCTGTCTGCACAGATCAAGAAGCAAACATTGGGAAGAGAGTGGGCTGTATGGGATAAGCTAAAAGAAACAGACTACCAGGGTGACCTGTTACTTGTCATGTTTAATGTCCTACATCAGACCCACCAGTCTAGCAGGCAAATCTCATGCTTCAGACCTGCTGCCAAAGCACTTGAGCGCAAACCTCAGCACTCAGGAGAATGAGTGGGATAATGATGGCTGTGGGTTCTGTGACCAACAAATAAGAACAGCAGTGCCAAGTTCACATATGTGTACATATGTAGACCAATGTAAGCAAAGGTACTCTGCACCATATCTGTTACACAGCTACTGCTGTCTTTAAAGGTGACTCCAGACTTACCATTTGTAAATTCTAGAAGAACCACAAATAACCTATACACTTTTAAATCAGAACACTACAAATATAAAAATGGGTACTTACTGGCTCAAGGTCTTTGCATAAAAGAAAAGAAAAATGCCAGTTACAAACACAAGGAAGAGTTTGAAATCCACAACTGGAAAAAACAACAACAACAACAACAAATGTTGTGTCAGTATATAAAATTGCACAAAGAAGAGACAAGCCAACTCAATGAAAGTCCAGTCAATTATACTGAAAACAGACTTACTGTTTCGATTCACGCTTACTACGTAGGTAAATATCCTCCCGACAGGCTTCACAGAGAAGCATACAGTTTCTCCATATGGACTGAAGACTATGGTCATCTCATTACACTCTTCTGGTACCCAAAAGTTATGAATCACACATTTGATAAATGATAGAATGGTTCCTGGATGCTGGCAATTATGACTCCCTGTGATATACACAATACTGAGCAGGCCTGGACTGGTAACTGTCACCTACAAAACAAGAATGGATCAATCCAGGCAGACTCTCTTCGAGACACAAGCAGAGGAGTCAGAAGCCAAGACTGGCTGAGGGAGGCACAGCCCGATACACAGGACTGGGCTCTGGTCCCGAGCGACAGGAACACACTTGCATTTAGTTCACAGATATTTTGGGACGTGGATGCATTGCCACGTGGCCGAAGTCCCAGTCCTTGGGACTCTGAGACAATGGATCACGTTTGAGGTCACATAGTTAACAACATGGAAGTGCTAGAGACCTTGGTCAGGGCAGCCTTTTGTGTGAACTCAACTAAAGGAAGTGTTTACAGAGAATGGGAGAACTGCAGGCTGCAGTCATCGACTTTTAGAAGGAATTTCATTATAGTGAGAAGTAGAGAAATGAAGACGAGCTAGGGTGAAAATGGAGTCCTCAGGATTCTGCTATTTCACAAACGGGAATGTTTTACGGTTACTTGTTTGGGGGAATCATCTCCTGGAGAGGGCAGTGCTGATGGAGCAGACTTGAGCAGGCCAGAGTGGGTATGATCCAGTGCAGTCAAGGGCTCGGACATACACACCTCCTCCATGGCAGACACTCGGTCCCCACGGACAGGGAGCGCCTGCAGTGCTGACGTAAGGGGGAGTCTTGATGAAAGAGCTAGCCCACAATCACTTCTGCTTTGTTTACATTTTTTTTCTATATGACCTCAATCTTTATTTTTTACACTTTTTTAAATTGTAAACACTTTTTTCTCATTCAATACAGTCTGATCATGGCTTCCCCTCCCCCAACTTCTCCTAGATCCTCCCTACACCCACTTTATTCTATGATTAGAAAACAGGCATCTGAAATAAATAGATAGATAGACAGATAGACAGACAGATAGATAGATAATAAAACAAACTCAAAACAGAAAAGAGTGCCCAAAGAAAAAGCACAACACACACGTACAGATGCAGAGATGCAAATTCACACACAAAAATCTCATGAAAACACAGAATCAAAAACCATGATACATAAGCAGAGGACCTACAAAAACTTTAAAAACATCAAAAACTATTACTGAGTTTATTTTGTGTTGCTGGACATGGAGCGCCCGTGAGGACAGTTTGTATATGCAGTAAGACTTCACTAGGGAAAACGAAGTTTTCCTTTACACACAGTTGTCAGTTGGAGATAGCTTCTCTGTTGGACATGGGGGCTGTGCTCACATCCCTTCTCAGTGTTGGGACCCCATGTGGCTTGGACTTGTACAGGCCATGCACATGCTGCCATAGTCTTTGAGAGTTCATATGTCCATCAGCCCTGTTGTGTCTAGAAGAACTCATTTCCTTGGTGATTTTCACCCCGTCTGGCTCTTCCAATCTTCTGCCTCCTCTTCCTCAGAGGTTTTCCCCATTTTTAATAAAGTAGAAGGACCATCAGCCAAGAATGAAGGTAGGGATGAGGTGTTGCAGTTATGACATCATTGTTGGAAAGAGTAGAATGAGAATAGGAATGTTGAGTATGAATTACTGCAGTATTCATGTCATAAAAGTTCCATGGAGAAAATGTACAAGATGCCGGGCATGGTGGCACAAGAAACTACATGGGTCTCAAACATGTTATTCTTTAAAAGGGGTACAAGGTGACATCATGTCCTGGGACGAAGTCAAAATATCCCTCAGCCTTCAGCAGTCCTTCCCCAGTCAACATTTAGGGTAATTCACTTTATCAAAGTCTTTCTGAAATGTCACATTCTCAATAACTACTCTCATCACTTCTTATTACTACCTCTTTGTGTTCACTTAGATCAGTGGTTCACAACCTGCCTGTACTGGCTGGTTTTGTGTGTCAACTTGACAAAAGCTAGAATCATCAGAGAGGAAGAAGCCTGAGGGGAGGAAATGTCTTCATGAGATCCAGCTTTAAGGCATTTTCTTAATTAGTGACCAATTCGGGAGGGCCCAGGCCATGGTGGGTGGTACCATCCCTGGGTTGGTGGTCCTGGGTTCTAAAAGAATCTGTATACCTAAAGAAGCTAATCAAGGAGGAAGACCCTGGGTAAGATGCTCAATCTTCATTCAGAAAGGCAAATGGGATAGACATCAGAAGAAGGTGAAAACAAGGAACAACACAGGAGCCTACCACAGAGGGCCTCTGAAAGACTCTACCCAGCAGGGTATTAAAGCAAATGCTGAACTCATAGCCAAACTTTGGGCAGAGTGCAGGGAATCTTATGAAAGAAAGGGAAGATAGAAAGACTTGGAAGGTCTGGAGCTCCACAAGGAGAACAACAGAACCAAAAAATCTGGGGAAAGGGGTCTTTTCTGAGACTGATATTCCAACCAAGGACCATTCATGGAGATAACCTAGAACCCCTGCACAGATGTAGCCCATGGCAGCTCAGTATCCAAATGGGTTACCTAGTAAGGGGAACAGGGACTGTCTCTGACATGAACTCAGTGGCTCTTTGATCACCTCCCCCTGAGGTGGGGGCAGCCTTACCAGGCCACAGAGAAAGGCAATGAAGCCAATGAGAAAGACAATGAGACCTGATAGGCTAGGAGGACCTCCCCTATCAGTGGACTGGTGGAGGGGCATGGCAGGAGAGGAGGGAGAAAGGGAGGGTGGGATTGAGAGGGGACGAGGGTGGGGGCTACAGTTGGGATACAAAGTGAATAAATTTTAATAAATACAAAATTATATTAAAAAAGAGAAAGCATGTTGAGCGAGCCATTTGAAGTAAGCAGCAACCCTTCATTCCCTCTGCATAAGCTCCTGTCTCCAGGTTCCTGCTCTGCTTGAGTTCCTGTCCTGACTTCCTTCAATAATGAACAGCAATATGGAAATGTAAGCGTCCCCAAGTTATTTTTAGGACACGGTGTTTTGTCACAGTAATAGCAACCTAAGTAAGATACTTCCTAATGCTGCTGTCTTATGTTGTGGTGACCCCCAACCACAAAATCATTTTTTGTTGCTACTTCATAACTGTAATGTTGCTGCCACTATGAATAGTAATGTAAATATCTGCATTTCTCTGATTGTCTTCGGCGACCCCTACAGTGGTTGCAATCCACAAGTTGAGAACCACTGACTTAGATAGTATTTTTATTAGGAATGGTCAGGGCAGGGCCTAGGTGGATATAAAGAGGAATTAATGTCTTCTCCCACATAACTAATCCCTGAGCCACTGCATACCCCTTGAGTTGGCTTTCATCCTGGTAAATCAGCTATATGCCATAGGAAATGTAATTTTAAATCCCAAAGTGGTGCATTTAAATTCTGCATTCTTATGACCTGATAAAAAAGCAGGCCCTGACCTGCACAGTTGACCACATATATGTCCACTCCATTTGCGAATTTTGATTGTAGCAGTAACAGTCTGACACTGAAGTTTTAATTATGTCCGTTTCCTTCAGAGATTTACATCTTGGAACTGAAAGATAAAATACAAAATAAGTGAGTTTTCCTAAGTATTTAACTGCCCAGATTTTTAAAAATGTGTTCAAAAGGAGATTTCATAGTTTTTAGTATTTTATGACCAAAAAATTCTTCTACATGGTGATTACAGTCCTTTATCTTCCCAACCCAGTAGGTGTCTGAAAATATCACACCCAGAGTCAATACTCTTATGTCACTTAGTGAGCATTATACATGCACAGAGAGCAGCACGGTCCTAAATAGATGGCAAGAGTGAAGGGAAGCTTCCTAGAAAAAAATGTGAGTGGGAGACTCAAGATTAAGTTCCAAGGATAAGACAGCATCAGGACTGAGGGATGACAAAGTGAACATTATTAAGATGAGCCAAATCATAGTGGCTCAGCTCACTGACATCTGTCACACTGATGAGGAAGCAAGGATGGAGTGACCAGGTACAAGGCGCCACCTGGACACCTGCAGCTGGAGGTAAACAACGATCATATCTACATAAGGAACCTATACTTCACCCGGAAAGCAGAGCACAAAGGGACTTCCGGTAGGCACCAAGGACTCATAGGAAACAGATAACATTAAAAAGGGGCTCAACTCAACTGCCTGATAAAGCGTGGGAAGGATAGGCACGAATTACCAGGCAGAGGCACCTACAACAGGATATCGCTTCCATCAACTCCAGGCCCCACAGCAAAGACAGGACCCTATTACTTAGGCTATGAACTGAGGAGGGAGGACAAACATATTCAAGAGCTCGTAGGAAGACATATCAGCACTCTGGAGTTTCAGTGGATAAAGGAGACAGAGGTGTGAAGGTTTCTGGTGAATGGAGAGATGGTGAGGCACTTACCAAGATCAGAAGGGCTGATGTAGAAGTCAGTTTGTGAGCAGCATGGAGATGAGTTCAGTTCTGGACAGACAACTATACACCTGCTCTCCACTGGTGGTTCTAAAGATGAAGGGCAGGTCTACAGCCAAGAAGACATTTGGCTGGAGCTGGCTATGGATATATAAGTACTAGTTTGTGCACAAATAACACTAATGTAGTGTTTAGCGATGCAATTTCGGGGACAGGTCTTCTATTAGATTGATGTGATAAATATGCTACAGGAGAGTTAAAAATACGGTTCATGTTTCTTCTGAGGCTGCTGCTGTGTTTGAATTTGAACTAAGTAAGTTTTCTGGAATCCAAGACAGTGTGTCAAACAGGAAATACCTCTCAGGAATAGGAAACAGGAGAAGGGAGAACTCATGGATATACACAGAAATGAGCCCTTTGCCCTATTCAATGTACAGGAAGGAAATCTGTAGACAACCCTGAAATGAAGTTCGGCATGGACTAAGTAACCAATAGCTACTAGTTAACCATTACAACTATTTGGAGAATAATGCTGAATAAGCTCACTAGGTACACACCCTGGTGTGAAATATCCATTGTGACAGGCGGAAGCGAGGACCGGTGCAGTCCACCTCCTAAAAGTGACTTGGCTACTAAAGTGACCACTTGGCTACATAACGACGCAGGATGTTCTATTGTGACACATGAACCCTTTCATTTTTCCCTCTTAGCATAGTGATGAAATGCATATGCTTTTAAATGTATAAACAGAATCTGAGCTGAATATTCAAGAAACTAACTAAGCCAGGAGCCAGGTTTCAAAGTAGAAAGAGGACACTTGGGAGACTCTTTGTTAAACACGGGATACCAAAAACTAAAAATGCATTCCTACATGGTATGCCTGTACATAAGAACCCAAAGAAGATAGCATGAACACTATTATGAACATGTAAGACAGCCAAGGTGACAGGCATTCTTGGGTACAACTGAGATGCACACAGGCCAAGGGCAGCACGCCTGAAGGAACAGTCTTAGGAAAGTTAATAATGTCAGCTATAGAAAAGGAGGTCAAAGAATGTGATGTAAAACCAGGAAGTGCTTGAGCAGATATTCCAATACAACGACACACCTTAAAAGCTCTGCCTATTGAGTCACAGAGAAGGGAAGGAGAGGTCTCAGGCCTGGTCTTCCCATATCATATGCTCTCTACCTCCTATAAGGTCTCTGAGCAGGAACCAGAGCTAAACTGGGCAGCTAGAACTGAAAACTTCGTACAGTGAATCCTTGATAAGTGAGCCATTTATCACTGGAAAAGAGCATGTCCCCACAGGAAGGCAGAAGGCCACAGGTTCACAGCCCCAGTGTCCCAGAACTTTATACAAATGCTCACCCAATCCGCATTTCATCACCAGGTGTGCTTTATGCTCATAGTACTTTTCTAAGAGATGACACCAAGGGTTCTCCTCATAACTCCTCTCCTAGTGAGCCCCATTATTTAAGGGATAAACGAACTCCCACAGAAAACTTTCTTTCTGTCTATGGTCTATAGAAGCATCCTCTTGAGAGGACTGAATTTGTAAACAAAGGCTATTATCAAACAAAGGCTTTCCACAGGGTCCCAAGACTATCTTCTAAATCTCTGGATAGCTGTAGCTCTTAAAAGCAAGATGATGTATGCAAGCATAGTGCCATAGCATGGGTGTGGGAACAAATGCTCCTGATGTGCAAGCCACATTCATTTTGCACTCAAGATTACTCTAACGGCCTTCTAGATGGCCTTCCTACTTCCAGAACTAGCCCATGATTCCCTCCACACAGCCCTTCTTCCAATCAAGCACAAAGGTCTTTTAAAAGCATCCATTACTTTCCTCTAATCACTTCCGATAGCACTAAGACAAAATGTCCTCCTTAGAATGGCTCAAGTACCTCTCTGACTTCCTATCCCTCTCTTACTCGATGGCTCCTGTCACCAAGCCTCCTCAAAGTACTAGCCTACTCTGGCCTCCACTCTCCATGGACTGTAACTTTCTTCGCCCAGATTCTGGCAGGGCTTACACCTGTCAATTGCTGGCATGTCTGCCCTGATGTCACCTTCTCTGAGCCATGTTTGAACATGCATACTTAACTCCACTCACCAACTTCCTGCTGACCACACAGTCTTCATCTTACACATGCATTCCTTATTTTACTGTCTTTTCTGTGGAATTCGTGAATCCCGCTGCATTCAAGATGTCATTTGCATCGTGTTGCAATCTGAGAGGGTCAGAGGATTACTTGAGCAAGCTTAGCCCAGCCAATGAAAATAGAACCAATTTCCCGGAAGGATTGCCAGCACAGGAGGAGGTGCACTGGGCCCTGCCCTTAAAATCTCCCAGCAGTATCACGATGTGTTCAGCCTGTCCCATGCAGCAAAGAGCCACGTATGAAATTATGGGCTATATCCCTCTCCGTTTCTATCAGCAGTGTAGCCTTAGCTAGAGACTAAGGCTGGCCACAGTTAACAGCCTTTGGCCAACGGCCATCTTTCTTGCTCCTCTCCACATATAGGAGGCCAATAAGTGGCAAGAATCTTGGTTTTGACATCAGTGTGTATATAAGGTACTTCCTGGTCAGAACTTGTTCTGGATTTCCCCCTTAGACTTCAACAGATTAAGGAATATGCAGATGGGATTAATCACTTACATTACCAAAGGCTTCAAGTCAGGTTTATGGGAACCAATGAGACACGTCCTTCAGTTCACTTTAAATATCATGCAGTTTATAAAATTCAGCTAAGGTAGTGTGGGGACTGCAGTGGTCCCCACTTCTTTGACTTTACTTTCTACTGTCACAGTTACCTGGAGTCAACAATGATCCAAAATTATTAAATAGAAATTTCCAGAAGTAAACAATTCATAAGCTTCAAGTACCTGCTGAGCATGCTGTTAGGAGTGCTGTATGATTAGTCATTGTGAATCCTTAACTGTCCTAATTTATGTACGGCTTCAGTGGCGGAGGAATGACACACAGGGGCTCGGCACTCGGTACTTCCACTCATCTGCTCAGGGTCTCAGAATGCGTCCCCTGGGGCAAGGAGCGATGCCGCACATCAGTTGCTCTGTTAATCAGCTAAAAGCAAACGACTGCTTTACAGCTTTCTTATTTTCTAAGTATATTTAACTTAAAGAGTTTATTCAGACATATGGTAAAAATATTCAGTCAAATGTCAGGAGCAGGTAGTACTTAAAACCACTTATAGAATCTTCTAAAAAAGAAAACGCAAACACTTCTCAAGCCTTAGCAGATGTTAAACCCCTTCCCATATAAAAAAGCAATTCATCAGCATTCTTGCTGGGAACCTAGCCTTCCACAGTTCACACACAGGAAAAACAATCCTCTAATGAAACCAGAACAGAAACAAAGCCGACATAAAAGTACATTGCGTTGTCTTCATTAAACCTAGACTTGCTTTTTCTGGGATAGAGAGGGTGAACAGGAAAAAAAAAAACGAAAAAGCAAAAAGCCAACAACCAGTCCTTGCAGGAGTTCAAATACAACCGAATGGTTCCAGATGGCGTTAGGAGCTTTCTTGATATTTTTAGTAAATTCACATTTTTCAAATATGTAATTTACATAAGTAACGTCACTCTTGTACTAGCTCCAATTTGTTGCTTTTAACCTGAATATAAATTTTGCTGTTTAGTCCTCCAATGACACAAAAGCGGAATTGAAACTAGCACCTCCTAACACACAGGTCTGATTGTACCTTCAATAGACATTCTCCCTTGCCACAGAGAAATTTCAAGCTGTGAATCTGACCTCTCGTTGGAATGGAAACCTGGGAAGCCATTTATTTCTAGAACCTCAAGGTTCCAGAAGGGAAGGGAGGCAGTTTCTATGGACCTGGCCTATTGGTTTCAAATTCAAAGTCATTGACATTTCTCTTCCTAAGACAACTACCTCTGTCTCCTGTGACAGGTGTCTGCCATTTCTACAAATAAGATGACAGAGGACTGGCCTCAGAGTGGGTTTCAGGCCATGGCAGCACCTGGGTACCCAAGACAGACTCTGTCCTGGAGAGGACCTCAGGTCAAAGGCAAGCCTCCCATGCTACTGCTCCTGCTTTATGACAGGAAAGACAAGTCTTCATTACACTCAGTTTTCTCTGTTCAACTGAGGTCTGAAAATATTAAATGGGAAATCTTTCAAAGTAAGTATAAGTGCAAACAACTTTTTCTACACTATTATAACTACATTTTAAATAATTATTTTGTTCTACCTGATGACAGGTATGTATATGTAGGGAGAAAAAAATATATGTATATGTAAGGTTCAGTATTATCTGAGCTCTCAGGCAGCCACTTGGGCTGCTTTTTAAAAAAAACACATTTCCTGTGGGTGAGAGCATTTATTGCCCAGCTGTCTCAACACAGGGTTCCTTGTAAAACCACAGCTTTTACAGTTGCAGCAGTTCTTAGGCCTTAGGCCAATCAAGGAGTTTCCACAGTGTCACCGAACACTTCAGAACAGTGGTCACCTCCTACACGAATTTTTCAAGAGTTATCTGGAATTGCAAGACAGAAGTTGCCATTTTTCTCAGCTGTGGACCACAGTTTTACCACCTTGTGGGTATCTTACACTTTTTAAGCAGGTAAGTTCTAGCGACCACTTCCATGTGTCTTTAACACAACCGAGGACAGGTGAGCAAGTGCAACAGCACAGCCCTGTACACCCTTCACCTGGGAGGTGGAGGCAGGACTGTTGTACATTCATGGTCAGCCTGTTCTATATAAAAGCTCAGGCCAGCTAGGGCTATACGGTGACAGACGCACACACAACACACACACACACAACGCACCCGTCTCAACAAAAACAAAACTTGAAAAAACTGGATGCCTCAAAGCAAATAAAAGGAGAGGAAAATATGGAAGTAATCTCATTTTCCTGATGAGAAAACTCTGGTCTCTGAGGAATACCTGCCTGGGACTGGCGAAGGTGACAACTGCAGGCTGAATCCCACAACTGCACTCCAGCCCAAGGCTGTGAGGGCTGTTCAACTGCTTCTAGTTGTGAGGCTGCTGCCGTGCCCCGGAGCTCTCCACCAGAAACTTTTATATTTCCCCAGACATCTACTATATTTACTATTAAGTCTTTGTTCCCTGGTCTGTAAAATGGGCATATATGAATAACGAGTATGAGACAGAGTAATTACAGCAATTCAGCCCTGCATAGCAAAGTCATTACTCAACAAACGCCTGCGGAATGAAAAGCTGTCCAGACATACCCTAAGGTGTAAGATACCAGTGTGTGCACAAGAAGCTAGTAACTGCTTCCTGAACATCCACTCACCCTTTCAGTCTTAGACACCCTACTGACTTGTTGGTGTGGGGAGATTCTCCAATTAAAAGTCCACATCTTGATAACCTCCCTTGAGTCTGAGTAACTAATGTAATGGAGAATGCAAACAAGCATTCTTTCAAAGGATGTTATCGATGGTAAAAGTGAATGCTAAGCTGAGTTTTTTGCAGCTACAACTTTCTAAGCCAGGATCTTAAGCACCCAGTCTGCGCTGCTTCCTAAGCACCGGGTTCAATGCTGGGGCATCAAGTGTTTTGCTTAGGACCAGCTACTCAGATCACAGCAGCCAACCAAAATCAGAATTCCGGTTTCATTCTGAAGCTTTTCTTTCTCTAGTGTTGAGTTTCATGAGATTCCTGCAGACGGATAAAATAAGGTTTCAGACATAAACAGGTGACAAGGGGCCAGCTGTGTGGGTGCCCAGCGGTGTGATCCAGAACAAATCAAAACGGGACGCATCCGGATGGTCGCAGACAGGGGCGGGGCCTGGCCGCGCCCACGCGTGACCCGGTGGCCCAAGAGGGAGGATCCCCGCCCGGAGCCGGGGTTACCTGACATCTCTGCCTCCTCCTCTCGCGCCGCGCTCGCGGGCAGCGTGGCCAGGGGCGGCAGCCAGAGCGCCAGGCTCCACAGCCAGGGCTGCATCGCGGCCAGAGCAGCGGAAATGGCGCAGCCGGCTGCGGGCGGGAAAGCGGAGGCCCGGCGGAGGGGGCGGGGCCGGCTCCGCCCCCTGCGGGCCGCCGCGCGACGGCCCCGTAGCCTCCAGGGGGCGCTCGCCTGCCTTTCCGTTTCCGGCTTCTGGAGGGGCCGTAAGCGTGCTGAGTGGGCGAGCAGCCGCCAAGTTACGCCTGGCCCCGGGGCGCGCCATCCCGGAAGGGCAGCCTCTCGGGCCAGCCAGCCCCGCTTACGGGGTTGAAAGCCGGTTTTTTTCGTTCCTCGCATTGTCTTTTCTGAAAACAGCAACTGTTTAAATCCCGATGCTTAAACATGGCACCTTTGGAAAAACAAAAGGGTTATAAAAGTTCATTATTACTGTAGTGTCGCTTTAAAAAGAGATTTGGAGTCTGGTGAGATGTTAGTGGTTAAGGGCTCTTACTGCTCTCCCAGAGGAGCCCCCCCCCCCCCCCCCCCCCCCCAGTTCCCAGCACCCACATGGCAGCAGCCCACATCCATAAGAAGCTACAATTTCAGGGGATCCGGTGCCCTCTTCTGGCTTCTGCAGGTATGTGGTACACAGACATTCACACAAGTCAAACACCCATAAGCTTACAATAAACAGTACACTTTTTTTTTGAGATTGTGTTAAAATAAATTCAAAGATAATAGTGAATGTTCTAAACATAACCATCTGGCAGAGATGATGGCATTCGGAAGACAAACTTTTGAAATGGTGTCCCCCAAGAAACTGGAGGTGCCCTAGGAATACCACTCTGGGAGAAGAGAAAGCCTAAAGCCAGCACCAGCCACAAGAGAACGCTTTTTCCTAGAAAGAGACTCACGGTTTCTTAGCCTTACAGAATACAAAATACTCAGGATAGTTCTGTGTCAAAAAAAAAAAAAACCAAGCTTTCTTCGGTCTCTGGAAACCTTTTAAGGTGACTTGCAAGGGGACGGAAGAGTGCGAGGGAAACTGACTGCAATCCCACTGTGCCTCAGTGACACCGAGAATGCAATGGTCAATAAATAAATAGCTGTGATGGCTTTTTCCAGGTGTCAGTTTGGCTACATCTAGAATCAACTAAAACACAAATGGGTGGGTACGCATGTACCCACCATCTTTATTAAATCATGTGAAGTGAGAAGACCCATTTCTAACCCAGATCTTTGATGGTGAGAAGATCTACCTTTAATCTGAGCCACGCCTTCTGCTAGTAGCCTGTAGAACAGACATGGAAGAAGGCTTGCTCTTTTTTCATGCTGGCTCTTGCTAGGTCCATTCCTTCACTGGTTTTAGAGCCTACTTGAAGGCCAACAGAGACATCCAGCCTCATGGATTGAATAAATACTGGGTTCTTGGACCTTCCTTAATAAACAGCCATTGTTGAACTAGGTGTACTATAGTAAGCCATTCTAATAAATCCAATACATATATCTTTACCAGTTCTGTTCCTCTAAAGAACCCTGAGTAATGCAGATTTTGGTTCTAGAAATGGTTTTATGGTAACAGAAGTAAGTATAAAGATTTTTTTCTGAAGTTACAACCGTGGGATTACAAGAATCTGATAACCCCATTAATGTTATTTTTCTCTTTCTAAAAAATTTATTTATTATTTATTACAATTTATTCACTTTGTATCCCAGCTGTAGCCCATTCCCCTCATCCCCTCCCGGTCCCACCCTCCCTCCTTGTTTTTGTTTTTTTAAGTATCTGGAATAAGCTTTCCAATTTGCCAACACCTATAGTTAGGAAGCCTCTCTAGTTACTGACACCTTTCCTAGCAGCTTGAAGAGGACTGACGGCCCATGTGTGAAGTATTTTACAGACTTGAGAAAACAAATTTGATTATCCTGATTTCCTAATCTTGATAGGCAAAAGATTTGGTGCCTCTGTATTTGAAAAGTTGGGCAATTTGTAGAAGAAAAAGGAAAATGATGATAATGGTCAGTTGCTCTTACCATCTCTGGATAAACTGACAAAGGAAAAGAGTGCACTCCTTGATAAAATGAACCAACTTCAACCTTTCTGGAGTAAGAGGTTGGATGTTGTGCTAGTTATTGATTTATTCCTTTATTTTTGTCACCCGACACAAATAAGAGTCATCAGTTGGGAAAATGCCTCCATCAGATTGGCTTATAGGCAAGTCTGTAGAGGCATATCCTTTTCTTCCTTTCCTTTCCTTTCTTTCTCTCTTTCTTTCTTTCTTTCTTTCTTTCTTTCTTTCTTCCTTTCTTCCTTTCTTCCTTTCTTTCTTTGAACTCGGTGATAAAAAATGAGCAGCTTCAGATGTGCATAAACAGTCTAAAGGTTCTCAGTGTGGCCTGCAAGAGAAACTTCTCTCCAGCAGCCAAGATGCTCAAGTACAAAGCCCTGGCTGAATTAGAGCAGCCATTCAAAGCCCAGCTCAGAAGGATTCGTCCATTAGAGTACGGCATTAATTGATAAGGAATGACGTCCTCTGCTGTGGGCTGGAGATATGTGGACGGACTTTGAACCCACACACTCTCAGGAGTTATCTCTGCTGAGGAAGCGGTCTCAGCACCCTCAGCAGGTGATGCACTCGCCCTCCACCTCTGAAATCGCCCTTTCTACCTTGGCTGAGGAAATTAGTCCGTCATTGTCTGCGAAACCAGCGATGACTTTGTCTGAAGGAAATGGCAGCCAAGACAGTACTGATGCCCTCAGGGCCCACCGATAGTTACTCTAGACCTATAACCAGATTAAGGCAAAGCAGGCTCCTACAGGGGAAACAGAAAGCGTAGTCAGGGGGAGGTGCACTATACTACTAAAGAGTTTAACGAGTTTGCTAATTCATTCAAGCAGAAGTTCGGGGAATATAGATGTGAATGGATTTTAAGGGTGTGTGATAATGGTGGAAAAAAGGTAAAACTGGATTGGGCTGACTTTACTGATATGGGCCCTCTGAGTGGAGATTCTAGGTTTAATATGGAAGTTGTACAGTTAAAAAAAAAAAGTGTCAGAAGTTTGTGTGAATGGTTGTCTGAAGCAAATGTCAAAAGATGGCCTACTGGAAAGGACTTGGAGATGCCTGACATCCCTTGGCTTATTGATAAAAGGGTTTTAAGGCTCAGGGAAATTGCAATGTTAGAGCAGGTACACTGTGTAAAACCCAGTCCTCTACAATGGGAAGGCCCAGAAGACATGTCCTTCACTAATGTTATAAGACAAAAAATGGTGAGAGGGGCACCAGCACATTTGAAGAGCTTTGTTGTCGCTCTTTTCCTTATAATAGAACTTAGTTGGAGACACTGTTGCTCAGTTGGATGAATTAAATGCAGTCGATTTAATTGGGCTCCGAAATAGCAGGGGCCAGGTGACAGCACTGAATGGCCAAAGGCAAAATAATCACAGTTACCATAATGGGTAGCATAGACAAAGCAGTGTTCGTAATGTCCTGATCTGTAATAGTCAGCACAGGCAATGTGAATTTTATGATGACATGTCTTGTATGGACATTTGGTACTGGTTGATCCATCATGGTATTTCCAATGGTATTATCATAGTATTGTGCATTTTGTTTACTCTGCATAGGTGAAAAATTCTCAAACAAAGAAAAGAAAGACTACATTGGATTGTGGCAAACAGAACTCTTGACCAATTTCACCCTTGAGGCAGTTTGCAAACCCAATACTCCTTGAATGAAGGTATGACTAGGTTCCGCTGAGAAAGGACCTTGATAAAATACCTCAGAGTTTTACTGTTATGCTTTCCTAGTTCTTTCCTGGGGAGACCTATAGTCTTTTCCGATGGTAACTATACACTGGGGGAAAAGAAACAATCAGATTTTCCAGGGTCTATTGGATATTGGTTCTGAATAGATATTGATTCTAAGAGACTCCAAGAAACACTGTGGCCCTCCAGTTAAAGTAAGGCCCAGGTGACTAATGGAGTTTGGGCTAACATCTGACTCACAGTAGGTCCAGTGGGTCCCCAAACTCATCCTGTGGTTATTTCCCCAGGCCTAGAATGCATAATTGGAATAGATATACTAAGAAGTTGGCAGAATTCTCACACTGGTTCCATGACCCGTGGAGGGAGGACTATTATGGCTGGAAAGGCTAAATGGAGTTGCTTCTGCCAGGGAAAACAGCAAATGAAACACAGTATCACAGCCCCAGAGGAAATGGGTGGTAGAGGAAGGTAGTTATAAATATATAACTACAAGTTATAAATGACCAGTTGTAGAAATGAAGATTATACCACACATGAGTTTTTCTGTCATATTTTGTTAAAAATGTATTTGTACAGATATTTGTGTTTTCTTTCCTCTATTTCTTTAACATGTGATACAGCATCAATTAAGAGAATATCAGTGGTTAACACATTTAAGTTTGAGATGTTAAAACAATGTCTCTCAAAAGGCATTGTCACCTATTCTAAATTATAACGTGTTTGCAGTTGAGGGTGGTTATATTATGTTCGGTGTAATTATGACGTGGCTAAATATATAATGCATGCAATTGTATGTGGAATCATTATATCATGTTAGGTACAATTATGACCTGATTATTGCTTCTTATTGGGGAATTAAGCATGCCATAAGGAAATATGATTGTGTGTTACACTGACAAGGGGGTGGACTTGTGGTAGCTTTTCTTAATTGTCAACTTGACATCTGGAAATTAACTGAAACCCAAGTGGCTGGGTATACCTGTGAAGGATTTTTTTCTTAATTTTTTTTTTTTTTTTTTTATGTGGGAAGACCTACTTCTAATACAGATTGTTTGAGGTGAGAATATAAACCATTAATCCAGATCTTTTGTATTGGGAAAATATACCTTTTATCTGGGTCAAACCTTCTGATAAAAGCCTATGAAAAAAAGGACATGAAAACTTTGCTCTCTTTGCCTGGTTGCTCTTGCTGGCAACTCCATTCCTTCGATGGCATTAAACTCTAATTTAGCCTTTTAGCTGTGGCAGCCATCTTGTAGTTACTTGACAAAATGACAAACACAAAGGGAAAAAG